TTAGAAAAGCATTATAAATTACTATATTTAGCTTTAATTAATAAATTTTCATATAAAATTGATGTAATAAATCTTCGTGAAAAAATTATTCAATATTTATTTCACCCCCCTGTATATAGGAATAATTCATCTTTAGAAAAAGATGCATCTTATGTTTTGTGCAATCCTATTAATCAAACAGTAACAAAGAATTTAAAAAATTTTTAGAATTAGATTTTTAATGAATATAATACTACTATATTTAGTGATTGTTCTTTAATAGCATTCAAACTTTATCTAGATAGTTATTGTAAAAATGCTTATAATAGTAATAAAACAATAAAAGTAGCAGTTGCATTATTATATTATTTAAATTATTCTTTATACTTTGTTGATTTATCTTCCGTTTTACAACATTTATTGTTAGTTATTCATATTACTGAGTGTTTTGAAAAATTTTTTAATACTTCTATTTCACCCTTTATTCCTATATCTATAACTTCTGAATTAACTGAAATAATGATAAATATTGAACAGTTAAAAAATTTTATGAATTATATGACAAAAAGTTTTAAAGATCTTGCTAAAGATATCAAAAGTATACCATATAATTCAGGTAAAAATAATAGAAATCTAACACAAAAAGAAAGTAATATATTTTAGTAAAACCTTTCTATGAAAATAATGATATAGTATAATGATTAGATTAAAAGTTTTAAAAATGCTACTGAAGTAAACAATTAGTTTAAAAATCATATGTTAAAAATTTTATCAGGATACTTATATGGGTTAGCTACATATTGATTTGAAGAAAAGGTTAATAATATTACTCGATGATATATAAATAGTAATATTACTTCAAGTTTTTATATCATTATTTTTGGAAAAATTCTTTACTAAAGAAAAGCAAAATCTATAACACTATCAGTTTAATATACTTCATCAGAGACCTTATGAAATAGTGGACTTCTATGTAAAAAAATTTAAAAGATTATTAAAGAAGATTGATTCTGCTAATACTTTATTAAACAAGTATACTATATGACTTTTTTTTAATGGATTAAAAAAAATATTGTTTCTTTTGTAGCATTTTTTCAACCTAAAAATGTAGACAAAGCTATTGAAGCTGCTAAACAAGTTGAGAGTAATCAATATTATAAGCAACAATCTTCTTTACTAACTCAAACTAATGGAAGCAATGATGCTATCAACAATCTTACTAAATAAATAGAACAATTATCCTTAAACTATACAACTTTCTTTAATGCATTATTTGCAAAACTTGAAGGAAATCCTGAAAAAAAACAGTTAAAAGATGATAGAAATCTTACAAAAGTTTGGGATAAACTGAATGTCACTTGTTTCCATTGCTAAAAAAAGGATATTACTCAAAGGAATGTATGTTTGAGAAAATTGTATATCAAAAGAAATCTAATAAAAGAGAAGCTAATTATATTAGAGTTTATACTGATAGTGAAGAAGAAGTAGAGAAGAAAGAAGTCTATACCTTGTTATATAATAAATCTTATATTACTAACAGAAAAACTGTATAACAATTAGAAGTAGAAAGGAAAAGACAATCAGAATCCAAAAGAGAATTAAACTTGAAAAGTAGAAAGCCTAATGATGAATTTATGAAAGTAGAGTCTTTACAAATTGTTACTCTAACTTTTAAAAGAAAGTTAAATAAGGACTAACTCAAATTGACCAAATGCCTTTTTATAATATTTTGCAAGATTTATTACAAATACCTTTTTTGCAAAAATTGATCAACTTTTACAATACCCAAATCAGAGATGTAATCTTGCTCAAGAATTGAGAAGACTAAAAATTTAAGAAATAAACTATGCTAACCAAAAAAGTGACAAAGAAAAAGAGATAAATTAACAGCTGTTTACTGTTATATTAGAATTAAAGGAAATTCTGTAATCACTATTCTAGATTCTGAAGCTGCTATTAGTATTATTACTAGAAAATTAATGAAAAATATGGGATTATCTATTGATAAACAGTCTAATACAGACTTCCGCCAAAAGTCTCTGAATGCTTTTTGGCTCAATATAAAACTTAAAATGTTAAAGTTTATTAAAAAAATTTATTAATTTATTTATTAATGTACGATATGCTACACATTTGGTTCTAAATAATTAGTACTTAGTCAGACCTTTATTTGCTTCATCACAGCTTGAATTCACTTTGATAAATCACTTCAGCTGGTTTCACTACGAATCTTTAATTAAGGATGATTGACCAGAACGAAGTTTCGAATTAACAGTTTTGGTGTCATCTATTCTTTTTAAAGTTCTAAATACTGTTAAAAATCCACAACTGATATTTATAGTAATAGCCTGGTAACTATCACCACGTTAACAGCAAAATATATACCGCCGCATTGTTCTTTGAACATTTTCGTGATTTTCAGAAGGTAAATTTTATTTTGGTTAAAAATTAAAATAAACAAACCAAACACATTTTTATTTGGTTTTGATTCAAGCAAACAAGGTCAGATACATTACATAACTGCAGTATTATACAGTCATATGATGTATTCAGTATGAAATAGCTGAAAGATGACATTCAGAGACTTTGGCGGGTATCTGTACTATTGTAATTATTGCTAATAGAGAAAGAACTAGAGTATTAAAACAAGTCAAAAAGATTCAAATTACTATTTAAAATTTGTTAATTTCTATTCTTTACAAGTAATCGATTTTCAGAATAAAACCTTAATTTTAGAAATAGACTGGTTTAGAAAAATCTATTCCAGTCTTTATTTTGGAACCAATCAGATTAAATTAAGATATTTAGCAAAAACAATTATAGTTTCTGTAATTTTTAGTGTTAATGAAACTCTTATTAGTTACTCTACTACTCAAAACTAATAAGATGACAAATTAGAACAAGTTTAGATGATTATGAAGAAGAAGAACTTAGCAAAATTGAGGCTTATATAGCAGATAGTCAAGAAGAATACAAGGAAAAATTGACTTTTTACCTCTTGATTATAATCTATAAAATGAAGAAAACTCTGTTTATTTAACTCTTACATTTAAAGAAGAGTTTGAACCTAATCCAGCTGTATTTTTTGCTGAAACTTTTAAAAAGAATATTTGGAAAATTAAAGATAACCTTCAAGTTAAACTTCTTGATAATGAACAACAAACATCTTTTCAAAATTTAATTGACAATTACAAGGATATATGTGCTCTAAGCTAAACAAAAATTGGATAAACTAGTTTGGTAAAATATAATATTTTAACTAATAATCATAATCCAGTTACTACCAGAGCTTATAAGTGTAAAGATCCAGTGAAAACATAATTTTCTTAAAAGAGAAATAAAATGTATAGAAGAAAATGGAAGTCACTAAACCCTTGGGCTTCTTCTGTTATTATAGTAATAAAGAAAACTGGAGATAAACATATCTGCATTAATTATAGAAAATTAAACTCTATCTTTAAATGTGATGCATATCTTTTACTGAGAATTGATGATTTATTAGAAAAAATTTAGAGAAGCAAATTGGTTTTCTATTTTTGACCTTGTTAGTGACTATTGGTAAGTAGAAATGAGTGAAAAAAATAAGAAAAAAATGGCTTTTATTTTTCAATTTGGGCTTTATGAATTTTATATTATACCTTTTGATTTAAAGAATACACCAGCAATCTTTTAAAGATTAATGAATCATATCCTTCAAGAATTCTTGTATAAATTCATTACTGTCTATTTAAATAATATCATTATTTATTTAATAACTTATAAAAATCATATCTAACATTTGAGAAAAGTATTTCAAGTGATCAAACAAGTAAATTTAATGATCAAGCTTAAAAAATATCATTTTTGCCTATCTAATATTATGTATTTAGGATATGTAATTAAAAGAAATAGATTATAATTTGACCTTATAAAATTGACAAAGTTAAATCTTCCCAATTTCAGTTAATTTAATAAGCTTAAGGTTTGCATTAGGATTATTCTCAAACTATTGATGATTTGTTTTAGAATTTTTAAATATTACTAAACCTCTAATATAATTGTTGAAAAAAGAAGAACTATTTTCTTAGATAAATATTCAACAAAAAGCCTTCGATATTTTAAAGAATAAATTAATTACTGCACTGATCCTGCAGTATTCAAATTTTAATAAACTATTTATTTAATACACTGATGCTTCTGAAAATAGCTTATGAGCTGTTCTCTCTCAAAAATTAGAAAATGGACTTAACTACATAGTAACATATACTAGCAAAATATGAATAAAGCTGAGCAAAATATGAAATAACTGATCAGGAATGCCTTGCAATTATATAGGCTGTAAGATATTTTCATCATTATTTAAGCTCACAATCTTTTACCATTATTACTAATAATTCATTCTTAAATAGCTATAAATATTAAGATTCTTAAAGGTAGAAGAGCAAAATGGATCATGAAACTTTAATAATATAATTTTAAAATCAAACATAGGCTTGAAAAACTGAATGCAAATACAGATGCCTTTTCTTAAATCAATAATGATCAAAAATATAAAAATAATGCACAGGAAGTCTTCATAGTAACTACTATTAAAATTGAAGTAGTAGAAGATGAATGGTATATTTCTTTTGAGCATAATTCTATTAATGATAATAAATAAACATAGTTTAATAATTAAATAATTCGACAATTTTCCAATATACCTTTGATCACTACAGTTGAATATGAAAGCTTAAAGGATGAAATAAAAGATATATACTATGAAAATATCAAAATTAAATCAGTTATAGCTAATCAATTTATTACTAAAAAGAATCACAATGTACTTTGTCTGTGATATTGAGAATCATTATATATCTATTGTAAAGTATGTAAATAAAATTTACCTTATAATATATACAATTATTTATAATTGTATTATAGGATATGGAAGAGGAAAATTCATCCTGATATGAAACTAACTTATTTAATTAATAATGTATAGTAGGAATAATCAGTTTTAGTTTAAAAAGAAAATGCATATTTTCATCTTTATGAAATGTTAGATATTATCCCCTATCCTCTTAGTAATCCTTCATCTATTTCAACATTATTTAAAATATATTTATTTGTATGAAAACCAAAGTGTTTGCAACATTACAAATAGCTTAAAATAAATATAATATAATCATCTTTTTAAATATTTACAAAATCAAACTTTATCTAACAATTTAATAATAACTCAGCAACAAAAATTAATTAAACAATCTAGATATTTTGAAATTAAAAATAATTATTTGTATAAACATATTCATCAAAAGCTTCTTAGAGTTATTTGATTATATAAAATAAAAGCAGTACTCTAAATAATGCATAATGATCCAACTGCTAGACATTTTAGAGTAGATATAATGTTTAATAAAATTCAAGAATGATACTATTAGCCACAATTATATGAAATATTAGAAAATAAATTCATACTTATAATAATTGCCAAAGAAGAAGAAAACTAAAGAAACATGAGGAATTATACCCTATATCAGTCCAAGCATCTTTTTATCAAATTAGTATAGATTTTGTTAGATCTTTACTTATAACATCAAATAGTAACAAATAAATCATTATAGCTGTTGATTATTTTACCAAGTGGCCTGAAGCTAAAGCTATTTTTAAAGCTACTGCAGAACAAGTTGCTCTATATATTTATGAAAATATAATCTGTTATTATAGAAGTTCTACAAAGATCCTTTCTGATGAGGAACTCATTTTAACAATCAGATGATCAAAGAATTGATAGATAAATTCAAGATTCAATACCTTATCACCTCTAAACAAATGGTTTAGTAAAATGATTTAACTGTACTTTATATGAATCTTTAGCAAAAACTGCACAAGATATAGATAATTGGGATCTACAAATTGCACCAACCTTATTTACATTCACAATTTCTTCGAAAGAAGAATTTCCACCATCCACTTGGAAGTATTTTGGAATAACGTTTTAGAAAAAATGTTTTGTTTCACGATTGATCGCATTATTTAATTTACTAACCGTCTATATCATTTTAATTTTGTCACTTAAAGAATTATCTTAATGATTCTTAATTAAAAGTTTACATAACTCTTTAAGATATTTTGCGAAAAAGCTTTCTATGGCATTGTTAAATCGGCAAAATATTTTCTGATATCGATCGTAGAAACCTAACCATATCCTCGCGATAGGTTATATCTTAATATTTTTTCTAATAGCCCGTTAACAAGCCTTCTCAATATCTCGACAAAGTGAAATTACAATTGAGCGCTCTTGAACTGTATATATCACGTGATAAGTACTTTAAAAGAAATTATTTATAATGGGGTCTAGGATAATAACCTAAACCCGGAGTCTAGGATAAATTTGCCTTTATTTAATTTCATATATTATTATTATTAAGGATGTGATAGGTAGATTTATTTTTCTCTGTTTCCTTTTTTACATTATTATTTTTTTATTATTAAATTTTCTAATTTTATTTTATTTTTTGTTTTTAGATTTATCTTCGCAATGAAGTGTCGGTTCGATCTGCTGCTAGGGATGGGGACGTTCCATTTCGGTACTCTTCGGATCTACTTCGGTTCTCCAAAAGTAAATTAGGACTAGGAGCGTCAAGTTAAATTTATACAAATGAAGCATTTGATATTGAAAAATTGTTTGACGGGTTAACAACATATAATTATCTTTATTTGAGCAGAATCTTTTGAGCTAGTCCGGAGCCAGTTCCGGTTCGATTTTTAAATTTGGTAAAATTGTTTGTAATTCAGGTAAATTCAGATTAGGCTGAATTTAAAATCTGCGACTCTGAGTCAACCGTTACATCCTTATCTGCTGCGATGCTCTTAATTTTTATTATTTTTATTATTTTGTTAACTGGGGATCATTTACATTTATTTTTTTTGTACAATTCTTTGGGCTGGATCATTGCGAGTCGCAGCAATTTTTTTTTTAAAAAAATTTTATGATTCGATAATCTTTAAGGAGTTGGTATGCCAATTATTTGAGAATTGCTACAGTTGTGTGTTGTCAATTTTCGATATCTTTACAATCTGCCTAATGTGTTCAATCCTATCTGTAATAGTTAAACTATCAATTGTATCATCATAAATAATAAATTTAAGATGACTGTTCCTCTTTTCTAATTCATTAATAATTTCTTGCTTACTTTGGATTCTTCTTCACGTTTTCTAATCTTTCTTCTAAATATTTTAATTCTGAACGTTACTTTGTTCCAAGTCTAAGGATTTTTCTAAAATGTTTTTTTAAAAACCATTTTTTTTGATTGGATTTTTTTTATTTAAATTGTTCGGTTGGTCATTTTGTATGAGTTTTATCTACCATAATAATCAATCTTTATTGAATTTATATATACACAATAGTGTTTTACAACTAAGGCTAGGATTTAGCCAATCAGTGGCTTAATAGTATAGTCATTTATTTTTTGTCTGACTTTTCATTTACATTTTTTTGACCTTCGAAAGACAAAATCAGCATAATATTTATTGTATGTATTCTTTCAATTATTTTTTTTTTGTAGCCAAATATTAATTATGAAACACAACCTTATTATTATAAAGATACTTTGGAAATTTAGAACCGATTTTAATTATCAATGAGGTGAAAGAAGAATTCGATCGGTTTTGTCGACTATTCATAAATAAGCAAATTTAATTTTTAGTTATTTAAGCCTAACGGCTGATAAAGTTTAATAATTTCCAAAACAAAAATAATTTATTTTAGATTATTTTATTAAAATTATCACTAAAGTTCTACTGCGTCCTATGCAAATTTTTTTTTTCGGCTATCCTGTTGTTGCCCAAATGCGGTGAATGATCGGCAGTAATGTTCTGCTATATGAATGTTCATTTTTTTTTTCTCAACTTTCCCCCTTTTTTTTTTTCAAAAAAAAAAAAGACTTTGTACCTTCCAGCTGACTGCCTAAATTGAAATTTTTGAATATTTTAAAGAAAATAATTTACGCTCATACTTGTTGGTGAACCGTCTTTGGTGTGAAGTCTCTGTTCGAATTTTATGGAGAGACATGCAAAATTTTAAAACCTTAATCACTTGTCTTCCTAAGGAATCCAAAGCGATTTTATATAAGAATGGGATCATAATTTCAACCTCAACTTCAAGACCTCCTTTGTTTAAATTATATAGCTTTTATCAAAAGGCTTAATATTCATAATATTGATCGTGAAATTACAAGATTTCTCAGGAAACAACAACCTTTTTACTTGACAAAAATAAGATTTTTATTACAACACGGGAAATATTTAAAATGCTTATGAATCAAACCACTTTAAAATTTTACAGTCTGATTTTGGCTCATGCTACTACCTTCAAAATATTCCATTTATCGCTTATCCTAGAAGAAAGGATTGTTTAAATAATCTTTATGAATTTTCATGTAATTCAAACGTCTATCCTGAATTTTTTTATCAGATGTCTCGAATTTGTCATAATTTACAATCACTAAAAATATCTTTTAAAGTTTCCATCTCAAATGGGTTAACAGAATTAATTTCTGTTTAAAAACATTTAAAATACTAGTACTTGAATTATCGTGTCAGTTATTCACTTGAAAGGCAACTAATAACAAAATTTCCAAAAACATTTACCAAAGTTACACATTGTTGGAATGCACATTCAATTGTCATTTATTTCTAAACTTTCAAATTTACAAGAACTTTCATTATCATCTTTAAAAAAAAAAGGATTAGAATATTTTAAAAATCTTCAATATTGTTGTATTCAGTTCTTTCGTTTATGTATTTATAAACAATTTGTAATGTAAGCAGAAGGTTTTTAATGAAGGCATGACTAGGTTTGTAATTCTAATCCTTTTTCACATTTAAATCTTCTCATTTTGTATCTTCTTTAAAAAGTCCGAGGGATTGAACATCTTTATCGGCAGCGATTAAATCATATTGTGACAAGTATTAATTTAATAATATCAATTAATCAGTGTTGCCTTAACGTCGGCGCTCTACACTTTCGTTATATCAATATTTTAAACGCTATAAATGCCAAATACTAATTCTAATTAATTAAAACTGCGCAATTACGAAATTGTTACATAAAAATTGAATAATAAAATCTAATAAAAAAAAATCGGAATTAAAATAAAAATAATAAACGCTATTACAAATGCGAAATTATAAAATTAAAAGAGCGAAAATCGAAATTATCGCGAAGGCGTAAAAGGAGGATTGCGAAGGGAATGAATTTCAAAGAAATATGTTAAAGGCGAGCATGGGATATTGAGCTGTTTTAGGATTTCCGGCACGATATATATAAAAGAATTTTAATTAAGCCAGCCTGGAATTTTGACCATTTGTCATACTGGCATCTTGACAAACTGGCACCTTGACAAACTGGCGCAGTGACAACCTGGCATCTTGACATCCTGGCACCGTGACAGCCTGGCAAATGATCGTCAAAGGGACTAACTATAATAATCATGAACGATTTTCAAGCGAAGTTATAAAGATTTCGGCCGGGATTACATTTAATCGTAACAATATGCAACACTTCCAAAATTACAAATTTTAACTTTTGAATATATAAATGTCCAGATGTTGAATACATGAACAATTTCTTAGAAAACAATGGAAAGAATTTAAAAAAACTTGATCTTGGCAAAAAAGAAGATAATGATGTTTCATTACATTTAGCTATAGCCAATTTTTGTACAAATTTAAGGTCGTTACGATTTATAAGTTTATATAGGAATTTGGATTCACTAAAAGTAATTTTTAATGGTTTTGAACAATTAGAAAGCATTGATATTTGGAGTGGTGGATGGTGATAACTATATATCAGTGCATGAATGATTGTAGAATTTTCACCTAAAAAGTTTCATGAGTTAAAGGTAGATATTAGATGTTGCGTAAATGAGAAAAGGGAATTTCAATGGTTAAATCCTATCTTCAAATGCTGGTCGAACCGTGTGTCACGTATTCCACTTTCTTTGACTATTCATACGAATTTATATACGGAATTTGGAATGAATGAAAGTAAATTAATTGAAAAGTTTAAAAAGTTGGGTGTTTTTAAAGAAATTAAAATACTTAATGATGTTCCTGAATATATAAATATGTACCAGGTGGATTTATCGCGTATTTGATTATTATTTTTCAAAATAAAGTACATTTTAAATATTATGGTTGAAATCAATTTAATAAATTATAGGATTCCTTATTAGATTTTAATGTGCTGTACATTATTATAACGAGATAAGTAAATCATCAGTTATTAACAATAAACTTAATAAAGGATGTTATTTTGCATTCTGTGATACTACTTAGGTCCTCAGAAATCTGTACGAAATAAATGTTAGTTTGCAAACTCTAGGTCGTTTTCTTGTATATATATGCACACCACAACCCAAAAAAAATTTCATGCGTGTATCGTTATTTATAATGGTATTACGGTCAGCTCATGTCGTTGTATAAGTTATAATATCATAATTGTTTCCGATTCTAATTTATGGGAATTGTTTATTCAAGGTCACCATCTTCCTTTT